AGCCTGGGATCAGCTGCTCACAGCACCTGCCCTGCTGCGTGTCTGCTGGCACAATTAGCCACCCAATTAGCACCGGGACTGTGCTAATGAACCCCTCCCCCGGCCCTCAGGAGCCCAGGGAAACAGGCCTGGAGAGAATAGAGCCTGTAATAGATTTAGTGAGCAGCTCGCTGCCTCCTCCTCTGCGAGGGCAGAGCTGGTTCTCCTGCCCTCACTCTCCCAGCCCAGACATGCAGCCACCTCTGGGGTGGAGCCTGCGGGGCTCTTTAGAGATCCCAAGGCCAGAAAGGCCCACGCATGGTCTAGGCTGAGCCTGGGCTGGCACCGGCCAGCGAATGACCCTGGAACAGTTCCTGTTTGTCTAGCATCAGCGGCCAGCTGTCCAGTTCACCCCGCGCCACGAGGCTTCCCCATTGACAGGCCCGTGGTGAGACCCGTCGTTCAGCCAGCTTTTCGTCCCTTTAACACGGGCGGCAGCAGGAGCTCAAAATCCCTCCAGGGCCGAGAACCACTGGGCAGGGGGCTGGCGCATCAAAGCTGGCCCCTGCATCGCCCAAACGTAGCATCCCAAAAAAAGGCCAAGTTAGGGTAACGGGCTCTACTGTCCATAGAGTCGCATTGCACAGCTTTACGGACATCATGTCTTTCTTCATTGAGGCCTGGATCCACTGTTATCTGACCCAAGGTCAGGGGGTGAGCGCCCCTTTGCAAGAGCCTGGCCCAACGGCAGCTTGCACTCCACAGAGCTGGGGGAGGACAGCAATGGAGAGAGAGTTTGCCGGCTGCTTTTGGGAGTGGGGTAGGGCCAGGGCAGGGCCCAAGCCACCTGGGGTAAATGGAGCCCAGCTGGAGCCAGCATTCCGAACCCCGCCCCAGTCCTGAACCCCTCCTGCATCCCACACCACTGCCCTAGAATCATAGAGTCCCAGGGTTGGAAGACACCTCCGGAGTCATCAAGTCCCGCCCCCCCCCCCCCGCCCAGGGTTGGGTCAAGCCGAGACTTAAACACCTCTAGGGATGGCGATTCCACCCCTCCCTAGGGAACCCATCCCAGCGCTTCCCACCTCTCCAGCCTCTTTGGAACCTCTTTAGAATTCCCCCTCACTCTTCTCTTCTGCAGACCAAATAAGCCCAACTCCCAGACTAAAGCCCAAATCCCTCAGCCGCTCCTCACAGGTCATGTGCTCCAGCCCCCTCATCATTATGGTTGCCCTCCGCTGGACCTCTCCACTGTGTCCACATCCTTTTGTAGCAGGGGGCCCAGAACTGGACACAATACTCCAGATGTGGCCTCGCCAGTGCCAAATAAAGGGGAATAAACACATCTCTGGATCTGCTGGCAATGCTCCTCTTAATGCAACCTAATAAGCCATTAGCCTTCTTGGCTACAAGGACACACTGCTGACTCATATCCAGCTTCTCATCCACTGTAAGCCCCAGGTCCTTTTCTGCTGACCGGCTGCTTAGCCCGTCGGTCCCCAGCCTGGAACAACGCTTGGGATTCTTCCGTCCCAAGGGCAGGACTCTGCTTTTGTCTATGTTGAACCTCATCCAATTTCTCTTGGCCCAATCCTCCAACGTGTCTAGGTCACTCTGGATCCTCTCCCTGCCCTCCAACGTATCTACCTCTCCCCCTAGCTTAGTGTCATCCACAAACCTGCTGAGGGTGCAATCCATCCCCTCAGCCAGGTCACTCATAAAGATGTTGAACAAAACTGGCCCTAGAACCGAATCTTGGGGCACTCCGCTAGAAACCGACCGCCATCCTGACATCGAGCCATTGATCACTACCCGCTGGGCCCGACAATGTAGCCAGCTTTCTATCCACTGATCCAATCCATATTTCCTTAACTTGCTGGCAAGAATATTGTGGGAGACCGTATCGAAAGCTTTGCTAAAATCAAGGTATATCACAGCCACTGACTTCCCCATTTCCACACAGCCAGTCATAGAAGCTCATCAGATTGGTCAGACAGGACTTGCCCTTCGTGAATCCATGTTGGCTATTCCCGATCACTTTCCCCTCTTCCGAGGGCTGCAAAATCGATTCCTTGAGGATCCCCTCCAGGATTTTTCCGGGGGTACGGCTGACGGGTCTGAGGCTGACTTCCCTTTTTTAAAGATGGGTGCTATATTTGCCTTTTTCCAATCATCTGGGACCTCTCCCGATCTCCACGAGTCTTCAAAGATAGTGGCCAAAGGCCCCGCAATAACGTCTGCCCACTCCCTCGGTACCCGCGGATGCACTAAATCTCGACCCACAGGTTTGTGTATGTCCAGCTTTTCTAAAGAATTGTTCTTTCTCCACCGAGGGCTGCCCAGCTCCTCACTGCCTAGTGCAGCAGTCTGGGAGCTGACCTTGTCTGGGAAGACAGAGGCAAAGAAAGCATTGAGTACTTCAGCTGTTCCCACATCATCTGTCACTGAGTTACCTCCCTCATCCAGTAGGGGACGCACACCCTCTCTGATCACCCTCTTATTGCCAACATGCCAGTCGAAACCTTTCTTCTTACCCTTCACCCCCAGCACCCAAACTCCCTCCCAGAGCCTGCACCCCCTCCTGCACCTCAACTCCCTGCCCCAGGCTCAGCTTAGAACCCCTCCCACACTCCAAAGCCTTTAGCACAAGATCAGTGTCCGAACCCCTGTCCCCTGAACCCCAGCCCCCTGCCTGATAGTGAGGGAGGATGGGGTGAGCAGGGGCAGGGCCTCGGAAAAAGGGGAGGGAAGGAGGTGGGGCCAGGGATTTTGGGTTTGAGGTGGATCCCAAATCGCACTTAAATTCAAAATAGTGATCTCATGCTTAAAAGGCTTGGAGGCCCTGCCCTCGTACTCCGCAGCGCATTGATAATCAAGGTTAAAGGGCCCTGGCGTGCCTCGGCCAGCTCCTTTCAAACTCTTGGATTCCGCCCTGCACGCACACCCAACGCAAGCCCACGGATGCAGCTACTGGTGAGATTGCAGGGCTCCCGCAGCGAGTGAGGCCATGGCCAGTGGACTGGGCCAAGAACCGCAACAGTGGAAGCAGACAGATGTCGGGCCACCGCTCACTAGAGCCCAGCGTGGGCGGCTCCTCCAGCGGCGCAAGGTGATGGAGCTGGGGCAGAGACACCCCCGCCCCCAAATAAAAGTCAACGGACACAATATCAGCTGGCAAAGCATCTGTATTAGCCACATGAGACCGGGGGGGGGGTCTCCCCTCACTGCCCCGGGGCCCGGACAGAGATGGGGGTTACGGTCGCTGCCCACACCCCCCTCCAGTGGAGATTGGGGTCTCCTGTCACTAGCCGGGCCCCCCTTGGGGAGTGAGTGCTCCCTCTTTGCCCACTAGAAAGGCAACCTATGCAGGCACAGCCTGGACCTCTGAGAGGGGAGTGGTGGCTAGTGGTTAGCGTGGAGCCAGGACTCTCCCCAGGTTCGGGAGGGGAGGGGAGGAGGGACTGGCTTACTGGGTTTATGCTCAGCATTTTGAACCCTAATCATTCAAACCCGTCCTGGGGGGAGGGGGCAATCCCCAGGGGGGTAAACTGAGAGCCAGAACCAGGGGAGAGAACCTGGGAGTCCTACCCCCCCTGCTCCGCCTCCCCTCTGCCCCCTAGCTGGCACCCAGCCAGCTCTTGGGCCCATAGGCCAGCTCAGCCCCCCCGCTCAACAGGAGGTCGATCCCGGTGCAGAAGGTGCCCTCGGCGGCCAGGTAGATCGCGGCCAGGGCACACTCCTCGGCAGTGCCCATCCGGCCCAGCAACTG